AAATTGATTTGAAGTCTTTTTTTTTTTTAGCTTTTTTGAGATACATAGTAATTTAATTTTCTTATAATCATAACTTTTAATAAGTATTTCTCAATTGACAATATAGAGAATCCACTTAACCTTTCTTGTGACATTGTTGTTCTTAGGTAAGGGCCGCCCCTGACCATGATACCCGTCGCTCAACTAGTGGATTTGTGTTTAAGCTTGGAACTGGAGCAATTTCTTGGTGCAATAAAAGGCAACCAACTGTATCTTTGTCAACAACAAAAGCAGAATATTGGGCAGCAACAGTTGCAGCTCAAGAAAGTACCTGGCTTATGCAGTTGATGAAAGATGTACAACAACTAGTAGGCTACACGATTCCCTTGTACTGTGACAATCAATCAGCAATTCGCTCATGGGTAAAAATCCAGTTTTTCACGCAAGGACTAAGCATGTGAAAGTGCATTATCACTTTACCAGGGAAAAAGTGTTGAAAGGAGAAATTGTTTTGGAGCATGTTAAAACCGAACATCAAATAGCAGACCTGTTCACAAAAGGTTTAAGTGTCAACAAGGTTGAAAATTTCTGCTATCAATTAGGCATGGTTAAGATAATGAGAGCCGATGTCGAAAGGGGGTGTTAAAGTTGTACAACATCAGTCCCATTTAGTGTTGACCAAGTCTGTAGTATAGCTAGTGTTATAGCTTTAAGTTGTTATTTTGTTATTGTTAGTTGTAGATATTTTTCCTATTTCCTAGAGTTACAGATATCTTTTCCTAAAGTTTAGGAGAGTTTGTTTAATGGGATTACATGTTCAAGTTAATTTGTAAGCCTATATAAGGCCATTAATGAATTAAATAAATTATCCAACTATTTTCTTCCACAAAAAATTTCAGTTCTACTTCCAGTTATTCTTTCTAATATTGAGCTTGCAATTCTATTTTGATTCTTCACATTATGTTGGAATCTCATATGTAAAAAATTCGAACTCCAACACATTATGCTGGAATTTTTCAGGTTTTTTAAGGGTATTTTTGTTCAAATTTTATCTTTGTATGAAAAATGGTAACATTCCGATTATTTTTGAAACTGTAGCTATTTTTCAATTACCAGTTATAAATTTGGGTATTTCTTATTTTTTTTCCCCAAAGTTTGGAGGAACAACAAGTAGGAAGTATAGGGGTAGGATTATTTTGATCCTTGATATATAACCTTGAATATAAATAGTCCTTCACGTTTTTGTTAATATAGGACTCAACAAAACCTACTCTGGACTATTTTTTGTTTAGAAGTATAATAATTAAAATTATTATTCTCGTTTTTTATAAATTTAAACACCGCTTACAAAAATTCATGCGTATGACCCTGCCTGCACTGCCTTATAATAGCCAAAGAGTCTGTTGTTTATCGAGTCGCAATGAATTATCTGCCTAGGGTCGTTTGGCCATGGCTTTTATTCCAAGCATGCAAGAAGAAAGAAAGAGAAATTCTGATAAAGGAAGCTTTCAGAATTTCCTCGTCAGTGTCCGGTACCCACGTTGAGCCGGACTAAATTCGAATTCGCGCGAGAAAATTTCATATTAGGTGGTAAAACACTCCCTAATAAAGGCGATTCTATATTCAGGGCTCGAACACGGGACGTTCTGATTAAAAATGAAGAAATACTTATCACTTTACTACATCCTTATAGGTAAGTTTGCGGCCTTTTTAATTTGCTATGTTTTGCGACATTGTAGCTGAAATTACAGTTGATGATATTGGTATTAAAAAGTTGACGTTGTTTCTCTTGATTATTCGTTATTAGACACACGCATCTAGGTATTTGTTTGCCTGGTATTGTATTCTCTATTGTTATTATTTGGTAGTACAACTTATTCTTGATCTTCCTCTTTTTTTTTTCTCTTCTTTTCTTGCTTTTCTCCTCCTCATCCTTCTTCTTCTCACCCTTTTCGAGCTGAATGTCTATTGAAAACAACCCCTCTATCTTTGTTAGGCAGGGATAAAGTTTGCGTACAAGCTACCTTCCCAGACCCCACATACCTGTTGAGAATACACTGGGTATATTAGTGTTGTAGACACACATCCAGCTAATCGAGACGATAACAACTTACAAACAAAAGGACTTGTATAACTAAAATGGATCAAATAAAACAAGCACAGAGTTCTGTCCCCATATCGAAGCCATATCTATTTGGGATCTGGAAATACATACATGAATAACATTTTCAAAATCCTTAGGTTTTCTCATTCACCATATACAATCAATGTTCGATAAGATATCAGTAATGAGAATCTCTGAAATATGACGATAAGCTTTTTGAGTCAAATGTACGCCGTCCCAATTCATGAATCTTGAAGGATCAGAACAAACTGAAGTCTCATTTGATCCACAAGTTTTCTTCCCATCAAAATTATATTTTCCTCCAATTCCACAACACGCTTTCAGTAACGATTCACGATCAATTCCCAGATAATACGCTCTTCGAAAAATAGATAAAAAAGCTCCATAATAATCTACATATAGAATAACAACATCTGAGAACTGACGATTTACCAAAGATATTGTATCTCGAAGATAGTTATTGTGAAATGATGCAAATTTATTATAATTTCTCAAACATCCGAATTCGTCGTAGGCATCGGGATCGGAGCTCGGAGATGAAGTCAGTAGCGACGGTAAGCAACCAAATGGAGAAACACCGGAGATAACTATCCGTTTCACTCCTAATTTAATGATTTCTTTGATGCCTTCAACAATGGCGTTGACAGTAAATGGAACAAAAGATTTAGCCTCTTCAGTGGATTTACCATTAGAAAAGGCAGTGAAATAATCATTTCCACCAAAAGCACCAATATTAACGAGTGAATTTCGAAGCTTCTTAGCGCATCGCGTTGGACTTCTACAAGTACAATTAAGGTGATTTTTGAACCACTCAATTTGCGTACTTAATGGAAGATTAAACGATTTAATGCTAATGTTTCTTTTATCGAAGAATGATTTATCAAGTGCCGTACTTCCGGCGACGGCGAAATTGACGCCGTGAATAAATGAAGAGTTTTTTGATAAGTAAGGATTAAGGAATGGAAGTTTAAGAGCTATTGCAATGTAATCAATCATTAAAAGACCGTCGGAAAATCGGCCGGTGGGTTTTCCGAAGTAAGTTTTACCGTAAGGAAGATGACCGGCGTGGAAAGTTGGAGGAATTCCGGGGATAAGAATTCGGTTGCCGGTGTCGGCAAGTGAATCACCCAATTGATAAATGGAATTAAATGGGCAAATTGCAGTTTGTTTGGCATTTGAACAGAAAGAGAGAGAGAAGGCTGTTGAGAGGAATAAGAAAGCAACTACTATAGAAGCCATAATTGAACACGCGAAATGAATTGATTAGCACAATAATATATACTCCCTCCTGACAAAACGGGTAGAGTAATGTGGACGCAGATCTTATCTTTATTTTGGAAGTAGAGAGACTATTTTAATACATCAATAATAGTAATAGAGGCCAAAAAGATAATACCAACATCTTAAAAACAAAAAAATAAAACAACATCAATAATTAGTAACAACGGCAAAGTACTAAAAAAACGGAGCGAAAAAATAGTATGAAAACATCAAGTACCTGTACCACTAGCACTTTAAGATAAGGTACTTTCTAACGGTCAATCCTAGTACTTACTTCACATTTTTCTATCAAGTCTCATTATATCACATTTCCCTAATAATATTAGGAGCAGTAGGTTTTTGGTGTATGACAGTATTAACAATTTGGATTAGCTTGACGCCTTAAAATGCGGCAAGTTGCATATGACAGTCCAAAGTTGCAAATAAATTATAAGCACGAGTATATAGGTATTAGTGTTATTTTATCCCAAAAAAGTAGTATTCGTGTTATAAACGCAAGTGTGTCGGTCAACCTTAACGGATACCTCTGATGGCTGATCTAATTTGACTAATTTATACAATAATTTTACTTCATAACGGTCTAATTTAACTAATTTATGAAGTTAAAGATTATTTTAGCTTCTTTTTTTTGTTTCTAAAGGTTGGCGTGTGAATAATTCAAAATCTCAGTTTATAACTTACAATTGTTTGACCCAAAATTTAAATCTTGATTTAAACAATTAGATTTTCTAATAAAATAAAATTAATCTTAACTAACATTAGTATTCAAAAAATATATTAACCGATTTTATAGCAAGTAATATCCATATTATCTAAGTAGCAATAAATGGTGATAACACTGCTATATTCAATGATCCGAAGGTAACATTAAATAATAATAAATATCAATGAATGACATTTAAGTAAATAAAAGTATGTGAGTCACCTGAAAATGGTGATATTCTTTCTCACAATGATGAATAGTTGATGAGCCTTTGAATATACGTATCATTCTTGGATCGGGGAGAAAAGTTAGATAAGGTTCTCAAGAAAAAGGTATATTTTGTATGTGTATGATAAAGCAAGAATCTTCAGAGAATGTCAAAATGTTTTTCTCTTACAAAGGAGTGTTTCATGTCCCCTATAACTATGTCTCTTTCTATTTATAAGGGGACATGTGCCACAAAATCATAATAGTACAGTTCTAGAGACTTTAAAGGCTTATCATAAAACTAGCTGTTATTACTCTGCTTAAGAAGAGTACTCGTCCTCGACCTTGATCTCTATTGACTCCTCGACTCAGCTCTTCATTTCATGTTAGATCATATCGACCTTGAATATGCTTTTAGTCGAAGTCATACCGGTGACACGTGGCAACCTTCGAAGACCCTCTTAATGCTGATATGGTCTGAACATAACCAAGATAATTTTTACCCCATACAATCAGTCCCTCTGCTTGTTGAGGTCAACCTCGTGGGTGAGGAGATAATACCGTTCATGGTCGAGCTCAATGAGCGGATAATACCGTTCATGGTCGAGCTCGTTGAACAAATAACATAGGTCGTGGTCGTTGTAGCAAGCAGGCAAGGTGGTTCTCCATGGGCCGTGTATTTTAAATCTCTTAAATTTTTCGGGTGATTTGTTAGAGCCATCTGGTCCAAGAGAAGGGGTGACGTCATGATGTCATGCGTCATGATGATGCATGTTCCCGGTGCATTGCGTCGATTTGTGTGTGACCTTTGATAGGATCTTTCGTTTCGATTCTAATGCCAATTATGATGAACCGTTTCTAGTTTGGTGCCCATTATGACAAACTGTTTCGGATTTGGTGCCTCTATCTCTATAAAATAGGGATAGCCAAACCCGAATTTGAAATTTTTACTCTCTCAAACTCTTGAGACTTCAAATTCTTTCTCTGATCCTCTCTTCCCTATATATTTGCTCTCTTCCATATTCTAAACTCTCTTCCATATCCTAAACTTTCTTCTAGTTTCCTTTTTTATTTTCTCATAAATATTTCATCTAATGTTGGTGAAGGGAGTCACGTCATTTCATTGGTAGTTGTGTTCCCTGATCAATGGGAGAACGCAACTGCCATCATAGAGGATGAATCTTTTTCCTTAGTGGAGGAGAACATCCCCCGAAACCTCGAAGCTATGTCTGATTTTCATCGATTGCCGGACGCGGCATCTGGAACATTCTTATCGACAATGGCGCCCAATCAATTGGCTAATTTAAAGCTAAGTTCGTCATTCTCGATCATATCGAACTGATTCTGGCTGGGGAGATTGAAATGCATGTTCACCGCCTTGGGTACTGCGCTCTATACGCTTACTCGTTCAATATTGGTTAGTCATTTCCCCTCTTTCTGCTAGTGGAGGAATTTTTCCGCCACTACGGTATTTACCCTGCTCAACTCCCCCTAAGTATACAAGGTTATCAAGATACTAACCAAGTTTGTTGAGATCGCCAGTGTTAAGGTTACATTGCGACATTTAGTGCATATGTTCGCCCTTAGCTTCTATAGTGGGATGATGTTGAATCTCCGTTACCGTAGAGGCAAGTGCCTGGTTGTAAAGATGGATGACAAGGACAGTCGTCAATTATGGATCGATTTATTTTACGTCAAAATCGAGGACGTTGTGGACAACACCGAAGACTTCCCCAAGGCTTGGAATCATACACGTAAGTGTTTACATTTCTCGTTTTTACCCTTTGCATTTCTTCGCCCATTTTGGGTGTCATGAAGCTATTCCTTTCTTGTAGCCAACAACCGTCCTTCCCTTATATCCGTTCGCATCGTTGACTGGGTTAGGCATATTCTCCCTCATACTACAACGATTCGTGATTGGCCGAACTTTTTTAAGAAATTCAGACTAACTCTTCCTTCTATAGGTAACTTCCCTTTCGGCTGTGATTGTTGCCTCTTTTTGTATGTTGGCTGGCTTCATTAACTTTTATGTTTCTCCCTTTATCAGGTTCAGTTAAGGGGCTTCTCAAAGGAGCAGAGCGTATGTGACCTCATTTAGAAGAAGGCGGCTACACCCTCGATTTCTGCCCCCATTGCAGCTGTTGTGCCTTCTGCACTTGCCTCCGTCCTGGTTGTTGCGGTCTAAGAATATGCCTTTGTCCCAACTACTGTTTCTGCTCCTCATCTATTTTCTTTGATTGGGAACCTACATCGTAAGAGGATAGTTGTGGACGCTAGAGGAGAAGTCCTGGTCGTTGTTGACTCGCTACAGGATGACTTGGTTTTTAGAGATACAACGATGATTCATATAAGAAAGGATACAAGGGCGAGAACCGAGGTCTCGCAACTGGAAGAGGTTGTCGTAGACACGTTGGTACGTCCCGAGGGGGAGACGGCTGCGGGGGTGTTTGGCAACGACCCTAAACTTTTGAGGCAAGATGAAGCTTCATCCTCCAAGGCTACAATAGATGTCTCTTCGCCAGCCAGTGATAGAGGAAAAGCCATCGCTAAAGAGGTCGTCGGATCTGATTCTGACATGGACCTGGATGAGCTAAGAATGATTGACGAGGGGATCACCCCACTCGGGGTGAGGATGGAGGGGGGGTTCTAGGACTATCACGATCCTAATGGCTCATGGTTTGCTTGTAAATACCAAGGAGGTATTCCCTGCTCTCGGTCCTCTCTGTTCTGAAGCTGAGGGTGAGACCCTTAAGAAGATAACCGACGGTACTTTGTTGAATAACATCATTGGTCTTACTCTCAGGGTAAGTACGATTGTTATCTGACCTTTTCTTTATGGCTTAGCTTCTTTTCAGGTTCTAACTTCTTTTTTCTATTTTGGAGATGGTTATTCTGGAGATCGAGAGTGCTCAGCAGGAGAAGAAACGTAAAGAAATTTACGTGAAGCTGAAAGATAGATATATAGCATGTCGTTGGAAGTATTAGGAGCTTCTAGATTGGTTTCATGAGGGAGGCAACGTGCTGGCCTTACGAGAATATTTGAAGAAGAAAGATGAGGAGTTGATAGCGACCGTGGAAAAATTTAGCATTCTTAATGGAACGTTGTGGGCCAAGGAGGAGGAGCTAGAACACAGTAAGGACGTGGAGGACCAATGTAGCAACCTTCAAGCTCAAGTGGTCTAGGTGCAAGGCAGTTTGATAAGTGCCAATTTCAAATAAAGGCTCTCTGGGGTGAGATTGCCGAGAAGCGGGAGGAGCTCGAGCGGGCGGAGTCTTCTCGATTGGATGCTCGGAGTAAAGTGGAGATCCTCGAGCTGGCGAACTGAACACTTCATTCTCAGCGGGAGAATGACTTGTCTATAGCAAGGGCTAAAGAGGACCGGCTTGAGGAGAGGATCGGGGAGCTGGGCAAGGAAACCTCCGATCTTTATGATCGAGTTGCCGCTCTAGAGGTCGAGAAAGCCCAGTTGCTTGCGCGACCTTCTTCTTTTAATGCTTCTAATTTCTCCGATGTCCTTTGGAAGTTTTACGAAGAGTGGATCCATGCCGAGGCCCGACTGGGTGTGTTCCGTGACTTGCATGTAATAGGCTCCTTTTCTGAGGCGGCTCTTGAGGATGCTGGTGTTAAGGCTCCCGAGGCTCGGCTTGCTTGTGGCAATGACCCTACTACACCTTAGCCTGGTGAGGAGGATGAGGAGGAGGGCATAGAATGCCTTGAGGAAGATGCCTAGTACGACTCTGTTTACCCTCAAGGCGAGGATGGAGAGGATGCCGGGGGCCGAGGCGGTGATGGTGTCGATTGTCAGGGTGGTGACGTCATTGAAGATCGAGCTAGCGATGATGTTGAAGGTTGCGATGGTGATGGCCAGTAGTTTTCTTTTAACTTTTTTGTGTATTTCTTTCGGCTTCTTCAAGACCTTTCGTAAAAAACTCTTTATTTATGAATATAAAAGTTGATCTTTGTATTTCTTGTACCTTTTTCATTTGCTGCGATTTGTTTTTGTACTTTTATGTTTTGCTTGTGTTTGCATGTTTTACTTCTTTATCCTTTTTATTATTGTCTCCCTCTGGTTGATCGTAGCCTTTGGGCTGAATAGCCATGGGCCATATCATCCTTTGTTTATATAGGTTGAGTATGTCTC